TGCATCTCGATTTCCTAGCGTACGCGCAGAGAATCATCTGCCAGGAGATATAGAGTATCATCTCAAGAAACTTAGTTGAGTTTTTCTTAGTTATATGCACTCCAGCAAGAGAGTTCTTGTGAAAAGAGAACAAGATACTGCATTATTCTGAGAATCCAATCTAACAGATGTATTGTCTATACAGTGATATTTATCATTGTGACTATTTATATAAATCATAATTTCTTTATAAAATGGTATCATTTTATAATATAAAGAAAAAATAGTACCTGACTGTTCTGTGATTTAGTAATAGTATTGCATTTATAAATTTATTGAATAATTATATATTAAAAGCGAAATGTCGAAATTATATGTCGTTTTTACGGCAAATTATATGACAATATTGAAATGCGTTCAAGATGTGTGACATCGCAATCTATTCCTTGCAATCTAAACATTAAATGATTACATCGTTAGCTCCTTTATTGGTCGTTAGACTTTCATAGAACTAATTATAAAAGTGATTTCCGAGATGTAGACGTTTTATCATGGTTTTTGAGATATATTGTCAATATGTGTGTGTATATGTGTGTGCGTGTGTGTTATTATCATGGAATATGTGACATTTCTTAGGATCAACTTTAACAAGTTGTATGTCTGTTAAATTCTGTTATGTTTGGCTTTCGCATCTGATTCGTTTCAATGCAATACTGCGTTGTAGCAGCGAGCAAGCATGTAGCATGATAATTAAATTGTGTCATGAATCATATTAATTTATGGATGTAACGGCATAACTATACTCCGACCACTCGGAAAAGATCTATATAAATAATTATTATTTATGACTTAATTTATTCCAAAATTCTATACCTTCAAACTCCGTTTGCATCTTGTAAATATTCATTCTAGTAACTACTAAAATAATTAATATTTAAATTTAATTTGGCATTAATTTAATAATTACTAAGTTTATTTATATAAATATCTTGCGATAATTTCGCAACCGTTATCATGATGAATAAGCGCACGAAAAATAAACTCGTAATCTCTCTGTTATCAGATCGAAAAAACGGAGAAAAATGCTACGAATTAAAGCATCGATTATCAATGCAGTGGAAGATTTTGTAAGTCTTTTATATGCGCGATTGAGTTAAAGCTTTTGTCCACTCACCGCTATGTCAAATTATAACGTCAGAACGAGAAAATACACAATAAGAATTCTTGCAAATTATATTCAAATAGAAATATTTTTCAATAAAATAACATCTGCAATCAATAGATTAGACTTACAAAATATGACTGAAAATTACGGTTTTGTTTTA